TCAGAGCCCAGCTGGTTTACTTTACTGGGACCAGTAAAAGTCCTATCTGTCCTCTGGATCTGCTCTGGTTTATTCTCAGGCTTCCAGCTAAAGAACCAAATCTAACCAGTTCCCTCCCCAAACCAGCCAGAGACCCGGATGACGCCCCTCTGGGAGCCATTCAGACCATAGAACAACCAGTAGGAGCCTATTAGGACCTATTAGGCTATGCTAGGGCTCCGTGTTTTGGCCTATTAGGACCGATTAGTCTCCCTGTTTGGCCTTATTCCGCCTCCACTGTGTGGATCTGATCAGGAATGCAGACGTAAACCTGAGAAATGCGACAAAAGCGACTCAGGGTTAAGAACAAACGAGGAGAGGAGGACCACGTGACGGAGGTCTGCATTCTTAGAGTTTTACAGCACATTTCTGGGCTGAAAGCTAACCGGAAAATCCCTCTTTGTTTCCAGATAATGTGGTATTCATGCTTTGGTGGAACAATAACTGCAGGTTTCGCAGAGTTTGTCTCGTCTTTGCTTTACAGCTCCACACTGATCTGTTTAAAACACAGACAGACGCCGTCTCTCACTCTGAGCCTGTTCTTACACCTCTGCTTTAGTCTCTGAGTCACATTAACGCCAAAGGAAGGAGCTGAACACTGAAAAAAATAAAAATAAAGTCGGCCATTTTGATTAGGTCATGTAACTAGCAGCTTACTGAGGTGGAAACCAAACTTTACTGTCTATACAAAATCAGAAGACAAACGATGACCTAACCCTAACCCTAACCCTAACCCTAACCCTAACCCTGACCCTAACCCTAACCCTAACCCTAAACCTGACCCTGACCCTAACCCTAAAGCCAACCCTGACCCCTAACCCTAACCCCAAATATGTCCCCTTACGATATGTTTTAGACTGGAGTTTGATGCTATGTCTGAAAAAATGTTTGGACAGGATTTCTCTGAGTTGTTGCTATGGCGATTCCCTCCATTTTCAGGCAGCAGCCATGATGGAATGTTTCTCTGAGCGGTTGCTATGGCGATTCCCTCCTTTTTCAGGCAGCAACCATGATGGAATGTTTCTCTGTGCGGTTGCTACGGCGATTCCCTCCATTTTCTGAGGTACATTAAACATTTTCGGAGGTCTTTTTGAGACGTACAAAATGGGATTTTGGCCGAAGTGTTTGCTGGAGTTCTATATAACTCAAGCTAAACTGTTAGCATTAGCGGCTGCTAAAGGAAACAGGGAATCAGCAGATGTACCAGGAGGAATAATTTCTCACATCCTTCCGTTTCCTGCTCTGAAATCTGAGCTCGGTGAGCTG